TCACGAAGACCTCCCAATTTCTCTTGGCCAGCAGTATCCCAGACATTGAATCTGTTGGTTTATTTTTGTTTAAGTTTCAAAGCATAACAAAAAAAATAGAACATGCAAAAAGTGATGAAGTATCTATCTATGACTGTATTATTTCCGTTTCATCAGGTGCTTCAGCCTATTACGTCTTAAATAGCTAGCAATCTACCTTCACTGAAACAGTACTGTTAAACATGACTTCATTCATCTGAGGAATATGATTTTTAGAGAAACTTGAAATTATGTAATCTATGTATATATATATATATATATATCAACCTACACATGTTCAAGGAAACAAGCTTAAAATATGACAAAATATATACACTTACTTAATGGGTCCTCTATTTGTATGGAAAACAAGAGGATGGACCTCCACACCAAGGGTGGCTACATATTTCTTCTCAAACTCTCCTGTCAAGTGACGCTTAACAAAGGTAGTTTTACCAGTACCACCATCACCAACCAACACCAATTTAAAGGTGGGCATGTCCTGTTCTGCTGCCATGGTGGAGATTTGGACTTGGTTCTGAAAAAAATAAATATACTATAATTACAAAATGATACAATTATAAGCTTTTTCAAAGGACACACAAAAAACTACACAAAATAAACAGATCAGATCAGAATTCCAAGCTGCCTGGACACAGTAGCTTGGAATTCTAATTGCAGTCAAAAGAGCATTTTGAATGAAAGCTTAAGATCCACATGTCTAATTTGTTGTCTGTATGTATATTTTTTTATCCAACATTCTAAACTTATTTACAAACTGACCCGTTTCTGAATTTTCACTTGGCTTCTGCATTTACAGAGGGAAACACATTCACAACATATATTCCATTCTTATATAAGGGACCACTTCAGGCTGCTCTTGTCATATATACATATTGCAGGTTTGTTAACCTTTGTCAGAGCACAATGCAAATATCACAGTAATGCTCTACACTGTTCTATTCTCCATAATCAGCCAATACAAGGGGAAAACTTGTATTACAAAATACAAAGCAAAAATGAAATTGTATAGATAGTATAGATTTTGAAAGATTCATAGCTTTCAAAATAAGCCTTCACATATTAACATTAACCATTTTCTTTGAAATTATACTTTAAATCTACTGTAATACATGAAAAATGACCTATGATCACTAGTCCAACGAGATTGCCACTGACATGGGACTATTGGTCTCAAAGCACGGTGTTCTGCTATGGCTATGCAAAACTCCCTACGCATACTCTAGCAAGATAGAGCTCAGGCTGGTTACTGGACAAACTCATGGACTTCAATTTTTTTTTATTACTACAATATTTTACTTTAAAAATATGAATACATGAGATAGATATAAATGAAACCTGGGTTAATGTTACTGAGAGTGACGCACAGAGATAGAGGGAAATAGACATTGCCATATTATAGAACATAAAATAAGGTCATAAGCAACACAGGTACATCTGCAGCTGCCTCATAGTTACCATGAAATGAAAAAATCCTCTGCGTGTTACCACTCAGAGACTAAGTTAACACCCTCTCACAGCCAGTTCTTATTATCGTATTTTCTGTAAGTTGACAAGAATTGGTAATAAAGGGGGGATACCCCCCTGTCTACAGAATAAATTGAAGGTAAGAAAGAATAGGTTGGATTTTGGGTTTGATACCCTGGTTTTGGGACTGTCTCTGGACAGGCTGTCACTCTCAGTAACAAATACAGCAACCTGAATACCTGAAAATCTTAAAAAGAATTTTCTAATGGAACTAAAACATGGTTTTCACCATTATCTAATTTCTGAAGTTCAAATGCCATGAAAGAAGTGTAGAGATTTATGAAACAGTAATCTAATTGGCATTTTGAAAAGGGGTACAATCACATTCAATGGACATGGCACAGCTTTGTCAAGCAACCATCATAAAAATGAACACAAACTCCTTTGGGTCATTTAAGCAAATGGTCACAACCACCTGATTTAAACTTCAGGCCAGGAAGAAAGGAGGCAAGAATCCAAGTCTTAACCCCACAGGAACACGATTCTGATGTCATTTTCCTACAATTCCACTCCCGAAACTCATTAAACAAAATCTTGAATATTCCAGCTCTCGAAGTTCCAAGGTTTAGTTCAAGAATGCACACAAAACCTACCTAACTGTACACTGAAGTTCTGGGCAACGCGCAACTGACGCCCGGCGCAACACCTTCCATCCTAAGGTTTACGTTTAAAGCGTTAGAGTTGAAAATATCTACTTTTAAAGTTCCATTCTCCGAAATAACTACAATTGTTGGCTAATTCCTGAGCTCACTTTGCCAAACCTAAAGACCACTTATCATTATCACCTTGAACTTTAAAGATTCTGCAAGTGGGAAAGAAAAGCCTTTCCTGCCCTACCACTACTTCGGAGGCTCTCGCACCCCGATTCAAGAAACCGATTAAAGAGAAGCACAAGATCCCCTCTCACCACTTCGCCCTCCAGACACCGAGGAAA